CGGCGTCGGCGGCGGCGGCCGACTGCGTGGCGCGGGGGCGGGCCCGCCGCGGGCGGCGGTGCGGCGAGCGGCTGGAGCAGGTCGCTGCGTCGTCGTCGTCGTGGTCGTCGTCGTCGTCGTCCTCGTCGTCTTCGTCGTCGTCGTCGTCGTCGTCGTCGTCGTCGTCGTCCTTGTCGTCGTCGTCGTCGTCGTCGTCGTCGTCGTCGTCGTTGTCGTCGTCGGGGTCGTCGGGGTCGTCCTATTCGAACGGTACCAGTTCTGCCCATTTCACCTTGTCCTTGCTTGTCTGTTCCGCTGCCATTTGCAGGTTGTAATCTAGCGCGCCCGTTTTTCTTGTACGCTATAACCGCATACGCCCGCTATGCAAACATATCCCGCTTTACATCACATGTCTTCTTACATCCTATGCTCGAGTTGGTAGCGGAGCTTCGGCTTCAATACCACGGCCGCAATGGCTTCTATTTTTCGCCTCGCTTCGACAGTGCTGGCTCCATCTCCCCGCCGCTGTACACCTTGCAGCTCTACCTCCAGATGGCTACCTCGCTGGACATCCGCTCTTAGTTTCGCATTCGTGTACTTCCTCCCGCTCACTTACGAGACAGCCGCCTCTCCGCCTCATGGACCTGTGACCAGGAACGTGCGCAAACAGTGCACCAACCAGTACGATACCTTAAAAGACCTTGGTCACGCGCCGGGTTTTTCGGCGATCCTTCCCAGGCTCGCGCTGACTGTGTCACCGCAGCTCGCGGGCCGGACACCCTCGATGCACTCGCTTGTGGGAGCAACCACAAATTTCGGACAGTTGTTCGATGCAGCATGGACATCTCCGGCGTCGGCCAAGGGTCCCGAGCTTCTTGTGACCGTGTCACGAGAACCCCGGAAGGAGCAGGCAGAGAAGAGCGGGGAGACAATGGAAGGCCTGGCGACTATTTTGCCGGCGCTTCTAGGGACATCGAGGCGGATCGGGGGGAACCCGTTTTCGATTTCCTGGAACATGACCTGCCATCTTGCCCGCGCGTTCCCTGCAGCCAAGCAGGAGGGGGTTCCGATGCGCTTCCCCCCCGACGAACGTCAAATTGGCGGTGTTCAGTGCAATGACGAAGCGACGCACGAGGAACACTCCCGTGATTGTATTATGGAATGCTCCGAATACCGAGAGCACCGCAACTTCACGACGTAAATATACCCCCAATGCGCAGACGAGGAGGAACACATCGGGGCAATTATCCACGGCGGCTCCAAGGTACCCTTCCCGAGCAGCGCCGCTGGTGGATCCCCCACCTCCAGCGCCTTTGCGACGCATGGGGGGGATTTTATGCCGGATGGATGGCCGTCAGAGTGGGCATGACTGCCATCGCCATCAGCCTTTCCTGCGTGGGCGCAGGCTGTGGCGGCGGCAAAATGCGCCACCTCCGCGCCTGGGGGCTCGAAAGGCAGGCTCGCGTGCCCCTCCAGAGATGGGCGTGTGAGGTGATGATCTGGTCACAGTGGCAAGCCCGGACTTCAGCGAGTTTCGCCAGGCGGACTACGTCTGGTCGCGCCCCGCCAGCACGGCGCGCGAGTGCGCGGGCGAATGGCCGCCGGCTGTCCCAGTCGAGGGGGGATTCATCAACGGCGACCCAGTGCCGCTGATGACCTTTCCGGTGCATGGTTTGGCCGAGCGGTGGGGCCAGCGGGGCGGGGGGGCGCGGTTCGGCAGCGTCGGCGTTATTGAACTTCAACCGACTGCCGCGGGAGCGCATCGTCGACTTCCTCGCGCGGTTCAACATCCTCCAGAACCGAGCGCAGCTAGTAATAGGTCATTACATGATCAGCTACGAGGGTCTCGGCTTCCTCCTACTGCGCGCTGTTGGCGTGTCGGAAATCCGGCTGACCATGATGTTGCAGCGCAGCATCGTGGCCTGCCCCGCCAACGCATCGCAGTTCGCGCAGATGGCTGGTCAGCTCGGCGCTTCGGGCACATGATCGAGGGATCGCTTGACAACCTCGCCTCGGCGGTCCACTCTGCCCAACGGCGCGCGTTCCTCGCCGTTGCGCCCGCGCGAGATCAGGCTCGCGGTGCCCGTGGCGCCGTGGCCGGATGGGGCCGGGGCGGCATGGGTTTAGCGGCGCCAGGGCAGGCTCCGAGCCCGCCTGCGCCGGCAGCCGCCGGCAGCCGCCGGCAGCGCTGGCGCCGCCAGTGCAGGGGTCGTTGCCAGCAGCCGGTTGATTCGCGCGCCGGTGCCGGCTCCGTCAGCCCCTCCGGCGACGAGATTGCAGCGGGCGATCCCGAGCTACGCGGCGTTCTTGTGGAAAAACGCGGTGCGCGCCTCCTGTGGAAACGACTTCTGTGGAGCTTTCTTTGGCTGGCCTCGCGGGCCCCGGCGGGGTGCGTCTCCAATGCCGTGAGTGCGACTCGGAGGAGCGCCTCGTGCGCGACCGTCCCTGGTGCCGCCGCCGAGGGCGCGTTCTCTTCCTTCGTGCCTGCGCACCGGCACCGCCGTGGCCGCCGTCGCTCCCGCCGCGTGCGTTTCCAGGGCAGCGGGGGCCGCTGGGGCCGTCCGAGCAGCTGCCCGCGCCGGGGGCGCGCGGGGCGTGGATAAGTGGGGGCTCCCGCGGGAGACCGCAGGCCGTAGCTCCTGGGTGCCCAGGCAGGTGATCCCGCGCAGTTCGCGAACTTCTGCAGCGGCGGACAGCCGACTCCAGCCGCGCCGGCGCCGCGGCTGGCAGCTTCAGTAGCCGCTCCGAGTGCGTCGTCAAAGGGCTCTTGGCAACATGTTGGCCACGGCCATTGGTCGCGTCGGGAGGGCATGACGGCCTCGTCTCCTACGTCGCCCAGCCCTCGCGACGCCGAGCTGCGACGATTACGACTGGAGATGGCAGAGCTCATGGGCCGCGTGTAAGACTTTGCCAGTCCTGTGACTGCGTCGCCGGCCCGCGCGGTAGTAGCGGGGGGGCGGCGCTGGCCGCGCTGTCGGCGTCGGCGCCCCTGGCAGCATCGCCGGCGCCGCCGCCGCGGCCAACGCCGCCGTGGTGGTCGCGGGTGGGCGGTGCAGCCTCATTGGCGACGTCGTCGCGCGAGTCGCCGCGCCTCGGGCCCCGCTTGCAGGCCTGCAGTTGCCGAGCTGGGCATGCGTGCCTTGGGTGTCTCAGAGCGTGAATTACCTACCCCGCTTTCGCTTCCAGGCAAAACCAAGTCATGCCACGCGCCCCCTCGTCAAGCGGCCTGGCCAGTACGGGCCGTAGTTTGGCTTCGCTTGGTATCTCTTGGGAGCGAGGGTGGTCAAAAGCGAGGTAGGTTTGTTTGCCCCCTAGTTTCAGCCCTCGGCATCGGCGCCCCGTGTGGATCGAGCTCCGCGTGGACGCCGCAGTCTGCGTTGGCAGCTGCGTCGCCGCCAGTGCTGGAGTCTCCCCTGGGTCTGGCCCTATTCAACGCGCATGGGCCCGTCGTCGTGGGCCATCCGACTAAGGGAATGGCCATGTGGGTCGCCAGCCGCGAGACCTGGATGTCTGGCGGCAGCCGATCCGAGCGCATCGTCTGCGCCGCCCTCGACCACGCGCAGCGCGCAGCTAGTTGGCGCTCGAGCTCATGCGGTAGCAGGGTGAGCGGCGTCGGCGGGCCGCGCAGGGTTGGACAAAACCCGTTCTTAATCCTTCACCCGTGCTGGCCGCTGCGCCTGCCGAGCCCCGCTTTGTTGCGGTCTTCGCTGGCGTCGACAGGGGTGTTCCATGTGCCTCGAGGCCTTTGAACATGGCGAGAGGGTGATGTGCTTGCAGTGCCGCCGCATCATGCGCCGTGCATGCCATCTGCAACTGATGGTGCGCTTGAAGGGGGGAGCCTAGATGAAGGAGACGGGGGACGGACAGAGAGCGTCTTCCACACGCCGACAGGGTCGGCGGAGTTTTCCGAGCTGGATCGATATGTGAGGGTCCTGGGGCCCGACACCAGGCGAAAGCGCCAGGTGTGAACAGCTTGCAGTTTCTCATCCTGAGTAACTTCTTGGCGGTCCCAGGGCCCGTCGAGGGCCCAGGGAGGCCGACAATAGCCTTAAACCGACCGCTCCAGTTCCCCGGGGCCTTGGATCTCTGCTTCGGTGTTGCTAGAACTGCCCCTGGCCTAAAACGCAACAAGATTTTCCGGGGAGGCCCTTCCGGCCTCCAGAGCACTCCTCACGAGGCCCAGAGGGCCCCAGGGGCTTCAAATGGAGCGAAAAGCCCAACCCCCGACCCCTCATCTGGCGGAAACGTTTTCGTCGTTATCGTGGTCGTGGTCGCCGTCGTTGTCGTCGTCGTGGTCGTCGTCGTCGTCGTCGTCGTCGTCGTCGTCGTCGTCGTCGTCGTCGTCGTCGTCGTCGTCGTCGCCGCCGCCGCCGCCGCCGCTGCCGCCGCCGCCGCCGCCTTCGCCGCTGCCGCCGTCGTCGTTCGTCGTCCTCGGTCAATTTGTGAAGGCGTGCATTCTCCGATCCTCGCGCCCAGGACCGGCCCCGGCTAGTAGCGGCGATTTTGTTGACGGCCCGGCGCCTGTCCAGGGAACGCCAGCCACACACATGGCACAGTTTTTGACCAGGCCCATCCTGGGCACGGCCGATCCTGACCGATGCCTTGCCAACCGAGCTCGCAACCGTGCTGCCTGTCCTGCTGCGCCGTGTGAGGAGAAGGAGGAGGAGGAGGAGGAGGAGGAGGAGGAGGAGGAGGAGGAGGAGGAGGAGGAGGAGGAGGAGGAGGAGGAGGAGGAGGAGGAGGAGGAGGGAGGAGGAGAGGGAGGAGGAGGAGGAGGAGGGGGTCGGAGGAGGAGGAGGAGGAGGAGGAGGAGGAGGAGGAGGGAGGAGGAGGGGAGGAGGAGGATGAGGAGAGATGAGGAGGAGGAGGAGGAGGAGGAGGAGGAGGAGGTGGAGGAGGAGGAGGAGGAGGAGGAGGAGGAGGAGCAGGAGGAGGAGCAGGAGGAGGGTGAGGAGGAGGAGGAGGAGGAGGAGGAGGAGGGAGGAGGAGGAGGAGGAGGACCCCTCCAAAACCCGCAGGTCATGGGCGCGAGCGGCCCGTGCGGCATCTGGTGGCTGCTGCCCGTGCCGCCGGGGGAGCGGCGCCTGGCCCACGTGAGGGACGAGGCGGGGCCACGCGCCAGGGCTCTAGTCGGAGGCCTAGGGCATGGCACCAACACCAACATCGGCGGTGTGCCTCCACCGAGGGAAGATGATCCCTTGTTCGTTGATGGTGACAAGATTCGGGCTTCCTAGGTGGCCGAAGCACTACCACCAACAGAATCTAGGACCACCTTTCCCGGGTGGAGGCAAGCCCCTGTGCTGGTGTTGGAGCCCATTTCCAAGCCTCCAATCTAGTCGGCGGCAAGCGGGGGGGGAAGCGAGGCGGCGGCGGGGCTTCTCAGGGGGCGGCGGGGCCTCTCAGAAGCCCTTCCGCCTTCGAGGAGGTTTCCGTGTCTTCGAGAAGGGCTTAGAATTTCTCAGAAGGCCGGAGGCCTTCCGAGCCTTCTGAGAAGGCCCGCCCCCTCTCACTTCCCCCGTGCGCGCTGCCGAGAGTAGGTGGGGTCGCGCCGCATCGCCGATGCATCGCTGATGCGTCTCGATGTGGAGCCCGATTTTCTCCACGCCGACCTCGCCGGTGCATCGCCGACGTCGCCGGTGCATCGCCGTTGCATCGCCGATGCATTGGCGATACATCGGAGATGCGGTGCAATCCGCTGACCCCGTGTACTCCGACCCCATGTATGAGGCCTCTACTGCTCTCCAGATCCCCTCGCTTCGCGAAAAAAATCGCGACGGACTGTCTTCTTGCGATTTTCAGTTTCTGGGTTGCGAAGGCCTTGCGGCCGGTGCCACCGACCCAGAAGGGGGACGCCGACGACAGCGGCGGCGGCGGCGGCCGCGACGACGACGACGACGCTGACGCTCTGGAGCCCTTCTTCTTGGGGCTCTCTTGGGAGCCCCTTGGGCTCTCTGTCGTGGCTGGGGCTGGGGCCGGGGGCTGGGGGCCGGGAGCTGTTGCCGGGGTCGGGTCCGGGACCCCAGCCAGGGCCGAGGCCAGGGCCGGGATTGGAGCCGGGGCCAGGGCCGGGGCCGGGGCCGGGGCCGGAGCCGAGGAGACCACTCCTTGTCCCCCTTCTCCACAGAGGGGATGCCCCGTGTGGGGTGGTCACGGCCCTCATCAGAACCCCCCTGGTGCCCCCATTGGGACCGCCCCCCCGGGACCCTCTCGCCAGGACCACCTCCAGGACCCATCCAGGACCCACCTGGGACCCCGCCCCCTAGGAGGGCAGTGAGCAAAGGGAAGGGCTTCCCTTTCGATTTGATTTCGACGTTGTTTGATTTCCGTTTGGCTGGATCGCTTGAGAAGGAGGGCCCATGGAAAGGGGGGAGCGGGGGACGACGACGACGACGACGACGACGACGACGACGACGACGACGACGACGACGACGACGACGACGACGACGACGACGACGACGACGACGACGACGACGACGACGACGACGACGACGACGACGACGACGACGACGACGACGACGACGAAAACGAAAACGCGTCTCACTCGCGGAAGGGTCGGCGGATTTCCCCTAACCCCACCCCTGCCCCTACAGAAGGACTGTTGAAACAAGGAACGCTACATCAGGAGCGACGCCCTTTTTGGGTGCCGAAAGCGCCTGCGTGTACGAGGAGGGCCAGAGGAACCACCGCAGAGTGACCCAAGGCACACCGAGCTCCTTCCGAACCCAGAGCGGCCCTCCTTTCAGCGTCTTGCCTGCACCCCGCCTGCACGAGCCCCCGCAGGAGGTGGCCGAGCTCCTGCGCCCGGCCGGCGGCGCGGCCCTGCCGCGGCCCGCCGCGGCGGAGGCGCCGCCCGCGCGGCCGCCCCGCGCGGCCGCGCCCGCGGCGGCCGCCGGGTCGGGCCCGCGGCCGCCTGGCGGGCTGCGGGCCGCCGGCCCCGGGCGCCGTGGGCCTCCGCGGCGGGTAGGCGCCGCCGGCCTCGCGCGGCGGCCGCGCCGTCGGTGAGGCGGCGGCGGCGGCGGCCTCCCGCGGCCTCCCGCGGCGGCCTCTGGCGCGCCTCGGCGTGGGCGGACGCCGCCGGGCGCGGCCGTCCAGCTCGGAGGAGGGGGCGGCCAAGAGGGGGGTGATGGCCAGGGCCGTGCTGTCTCCCCGGAGTCGGCGCGTCCCCTGGCCCTGGGCCGCGCACATGCCGCCGGATGCAGTGCGCCTCCGCCTGGACGCCCCCCCCTGTTGGGCGCCCCCGACTCGGCGGGGGGCGTCTTCGCCGGGCCCGGCCGCCCGGCTCGGAGGGCGAGCCGAGACGATGGCAGCTGGCCTTCGGGGGGCCCCCTCGTCGCCACGGCGGGACGCGGCTCTTCCAGGGAACGCTGGCCATGAATGACCAGGATGTCGCGGGATCTTGCCGACGCCGATCTTGGTCATGGTCTGTGCTGCCCGTCGCCGATTCGCGAGGACGATCCACGAATTGACGCTGACCAAGGTGGGCGGCGACCAAGATCGACACGGTGCTGCCGCGTTCAGTCGTGGTCATGGTCCCCGTGCTCCTCCTTCCGCGAACGGCCTGCGTGCACCGCACCGCGTGCACCGCACCGCGTGCACCGCACCGCGCTGCCGCCTCCCCAGGCGTCCTTGATCCTAGACCCAGGCACAGGCCGAGAACGCATGCACCGTACCGCGCTGGAGCGGGGCCTGGGGGGAGTCCGAACACTCTTTGCGCCGGCGGCTAGGCAGAGTAACTGCGCTGGCGGAAGAGCAATGACAACGGGGATACCGTTGAAGCGAATCGAGCCACCATGCAGGAAAATGGAAGGGGACAGGGAGGGCGGCCGAAGGAGGAGAGAGAGAGAGGGAGTCCAAACACGGCACAGTGCACGGGCGCCGTTCTCGTGCTCTTTTTCCAGCTCGGAAACGCTGGCGCGCCTGGGCCCCCAATTTGGTGCCGGGGGACCTGACGGGCAAATTTTCCACCACCGCTACCACATGTTGCACGGGGGAGGAGGGAGGATGAGGAGGTCCTCCTTCTTCTCCTCTTCCTCCTCCTCCATCTTCTCCTCCTCCTCCTCCTCCTCCTCCTCCTCCTCCTCCTCCTCCTCCTCCTCCTCCCTCTCCTACCTATGGTAGTGGTGGTGGAAAGTATGCCCATCAGGACCGAGGTTGAGCTGCCGTGGCCTCAGCTCGCCCAGCTCCGCCCCGCGAGTGGGCGAGGGCTGCCGCTTCCTGCGGCCGGAGCCCCGCCGTCGGCGGCGGGAGCGAGCGCGGCGGCGGGGCAGAACTGGTCCGCTTCCTGCCCCGCCGGCTTTTCCTTGGCCCTGGGGAGGAGGAGGCGGAGGCGGAGGCGGAGGCGGAGGTGGAGGAGGAGGAGGAGGCGGAGGAGGAGGAGGCGGAGGCGGAGGAGGAGGAGGAGGAGGAGGAGGCGGCGGAGGCGGAGGAGGAGGAGGAGGAGGCGGCGGAGGAGGAGGGGAGGAGGAGGCGGAGGAGGTGGAGGAGGAGGAGGAGGAGGAGAGGAGGAGGAGGAGGCGGCGGAGGAGTAGGCGGAGGAGGAGGAGGAGGATGAGGAGGAGGAGGAGGAGGAGGAGGAGGAGGAGGAGGAGGGGGAGGAAGGGGACCAGTGTAAACCCAGGGCGCATCAACGATGTCGCTGTAAGCACTCCCTCGAGGATCTCTCTTCTTAGGTCCCTATAAGAAGTCATTTTCTTTGCAGGGAGTGCCCGATTGGAGGACAAACGTCTGATAATCTTTGATCGTGCCAATGAGCTATTCCTGAGGCTTCAACACCGCAAAAATCAACGTGACTGTTGCGTCCTGGCAATCTGGAATCGTGCCAGAAAGCGATCCATGAGCCTTCAACACCGCGAAGCAACGTGACTGTTGGGTCCTGAACCGTAGATCGTGCCAGAGCACAATTCCCGGGACTTCGACCGCAAGAATCCTTGAAACTGTTCTGTGATTCCTTGAAGACGAATGTGCGCGGGGCAACAGCGAGAACACCATTTTGAATAGGAATTGCCCTCTATCCTTGATTCTGGTTGCCAGTTGTGAATACGAGTGTGCGCTGCTGCGCGAAGGCGAGGGCCACACTTTGAAAACCTGCCGCCCTCCATCCCTAGAATGGTATGCAAACTTTGAAGACGAATCTGCGCGGCGCCAAGGTGATATCCATATTTTGAACACCAGCCGCCCTCCATCCGTGAAACTAACATTTTCAGCCGAATGATCATTAATTCTGAGAAAGTCTCAGGCGAATCACCCGGACCGCCCCACGGACACGTTCTGGGCTGCGACAGGGACGAGTTATCCACAAGGAAAAAGGATGGAAGTCGCCCTGTCTCTGGTTCGTGGCCTCTCGTGGCAGCTCCCACTTGTCCCGTTGGTCGTCCCGATGGTTGTCCTCCTGGCGACCAGTTGCCTCCCATTGTCCCGATGGTTGTCCCGATGGTTGTCCCGATGGTCGTTCCGATGGATTGTCCCGATGGTTGTCCTGATGGTTACACCGATGGTTTTTCCGACAGCTGTCCCGACGGTTGTCCCGTCGGGTTGTCCCGATGGTTGTCCCATGGGTTGCCCAGATAGATGGGAGATCGCTGTCCTGATGGTTGTCCCGATGATTGTCCCGATGGATAGACAGTGAGATCGACAGATAGATTGATTGTGAGATCGATAGATCTATAGTGCGACATTTAGATCGCAAGACCGATCGATATTCAATATATGGTTGTCCCGATGGTTGTGAAGATGGTTGTCCAGATGGTTGGCCCGATGGTTGCTTAATTGCTGTCCTTGTAAACAGAGATTGAGATCGACATACATTTCGATAGTGATAGCGACAGGCGTCCAGTTGCGCTGCCGCGCGATTCCGCTACTGCGCTCGGGCGGGCGCTGGGGGGGGGTGCGCCTGGGGGGCGCGAGGGGGAGGGAGGGCTGTGTGGGGCGGGGGGCATGCCGCGGGATCTGGCAACCAACACCTCCGTTTTTGCGTTGTGTTTGTTGGTCGCAAGGCGATAAGCGCAGGGACTTGGTGGAACCAAATAGAGGGATGAGATACATGACATACTGACACAAACACGCACACACAGTGACACATACACACACGCACACACTGACACAGACACACAAACACATACACTGATACACACACACTGACGCACACACACACACTGACACACACACACACTGACACACACACTGACACACGCATGAATTGACACACACACATACACACACGAACTGACACACACGCACACACGGACCCACACACACACACACTGACACACACACACACTGACACACACACACTGACACACACACACACCAACACCAACGCCAACACCAGGACCAACACCAACACCAGGACCAACACCAGGACGAGCACCCATACCAAACAACTACTAAACAACAAACAACACAACACAACACAGTCGTACACAACTCGACCCAACACAACACAGCACAACACAGCACAACACAACACAACACAGCACAACACAACAACACACACACACACCACACGCTGCAAACGCGGTGTCGGATATGGTGAGAGCGATACATAGTGAGACGGATTGATCGGAGTGAGGGTTTATCATATATAATTATCCCGATGCCGTTCCGATACTTCTCCCGATGTTTGTCACACTGGTTGTCCCGATGACTGTTCCGATGGTTGTCCCGATAGTTCCCCACATGCTTCGTCGTGGGGTTCTGGTTTTCTTCCCTGTCGCGCCGCACCCGCGTCTCACACACCTCCCGCCTCCTCACCCACACACTCGCACACAGCCGCACGCATGCACACATTCGCACATACAAGACGCATGTTCACTGCATCATACACCCAAGACGTCTGCACGACATACTGGGCAACACGTGAGATATGTCCCGATATGGCCGCACACGCATCATACACATACACACGGCAAGCCATGCGGCAGGCGAGCAGGCGTGGCACTTCCTCGACACCATAAGGGGGTGCGCAGAGGGTGGTCCCTCAGCGGGGCCTCTATCCGTGACACGCTCGCAGGGCGTGGCAGTCGCGGCACTTTCTCGACACCGCTGGGGGGCGCAAAGGGTGGTCCCTCAGCGGGGCCTCTATCCGTGACACGCTCGCAGGGCGTGGCAGGCGTGGCACTTCCTCGACACCATAGGGGGTTCGCAGGGGGTGGTCTCTCACCGCGGCCGCTATGCACGACAGTCGTCCAGGCACAGCAGGCGTGGCACTTTCTCGACACCACAGGGGGTGCGCAGGGGGTGGCCCCTGAGCGCGGCCGCTATCCGTGACACGCTCGCAGGGCGTGGCAGGCGCGGCACTTTCTCGACACCACTGGGGGGGCGCAGAGGGTGGTCCCTCAGCGGGGCCTCTATCCGTGACACGCTCGCAGGGCGTGGCAGGCGCGGCACATTCTCGACATCACATGGGGGTGCGCAGAGGGTGGTCCCTCAGTGCGGCCTCTATCCGTGACACGCTCGCAGAGCGTGGCAGGCGCGGCACTTTCTCGACACCACTGGGGGGGGCGCAGAGGGTGGTCCCTCAGCGGGGCCTCTATCCGTGACACGCTCGCAGGGCGTGGCAGGCGCGGCACATTCTCGACACCACATGGGGGTGCGCAGAGGGTGGTCCCTCAGTGCGGCCTCTATCCGTGACACGCTCGCAGATCGTGTCAGGAGTGGCACTTTCTCGACACCACATGGGGGTGCGCAGAGGGTGGTCTCTCAGCGCGGCCTCTATCCGTGACACGCTCGCAGGGCGTGGCAGGCGTGGCACTTTCTCGACGCCACAGGGGGTGCGCAGAGGGTGGTGTCCCTCAGCGCGGCCTCTATCCGTGACACGCTCGCAGATCGTGGCAGGAGTGGCACTTTCTCGACACCACAGGGGGTGCGCAGAGGGTGGTGGTCCCTCAGCGCGGCCTCTATCCGTGACACGCTCGCAGATCGTGGCAGGAGTGGCACTTGCTCGACACCACAGGGGGTGCGCAGAGGGTGGTCCCTCAGCGCGGCCTCTATCCGTGACACGCTCGCAGATCGTGTCAGGAGTGGCACTTTCTCGACACCACAGGGGGTGCGCAGAGGGTGGTCCCTCAGCACATGCTTCGTCGTGGGGTTCTGGTTTTCTTCCCTGTCGCGCCGCACCCGCGTCTCACACACCTCCCGCCTCCTCACCCACACACTCGCACACAGCCGCACGCATGCACACATTCGCACATACAAGACGCATGTTCACTGCATCATACACCCAAGACGTCTGCACGACATACTGGGCAACACGTGAGATATGTCCCGATATGGCCGCACACGCATCATACACATACACACGGCAAGCCATGCGGCAGGCGAGCAGGCGTGGCACTTCCTCGACACCATAGGGGGTGCGCAGAGGGTGGTCCCTCAGCGGGGCCTCTATCCGTGACACGCTCGCAGGGCGTGGCAGGCGCGGCACTTTCTCGACACCGCTGGGGGGGCGCAAAGGGTGGTCCCTCAGCGGGGCCTCTATCCGTGACACGCTCGCAGGGCGTGGCAGGCGTGGCACTTCCTCGACACCATAGGGGGTGCGCAGGGGGTGGTCTCTCACCGCGGCCGCTATGCACGACAGTCGTCCAGGCACAGCAGGCGTGGCACTTTCTCGACACCACAGGGGGTGCGCAGGGGGTGGCCCCTGAGCGCGGCCGCTATCCGTGACACGCTCGCAGGGCGTGGCAGGCGCGGCACTTTCTCGACACCACTGGGGGGGCGCAGAGGGTGGTCCCTCAGCGGGGCCTCTATCCGTGACACGCTCGCAGGGCGTGGCAGGCGCGGCACATTCTCGACATCACATGGGGGTGCGCAGAGGGTGGTCCCTCAGTGCGGCCTCTATCCGTGACACGCTCGCAGATCGTGTCAGGAGTGGCACTTTCTCGACACCACATGGGGGTGCGCAGAGGGTGGTCTCTCAGCGCGGCCTCTATCCGTGACACGCTCGCAGGGCGTGGCAGGCGTGGCACTTTCTCGACGCCACAGGGGGTGCGCAGAGGGTGGTGTCCCTCAGCGCGGCCTCTATCCGTGACACGCTCGCAGATCGTGGCAGGAGTGGCACTTTCTCGACACCACAGGGGGTGCGCAGAGGGTGGTGGTCCCTCAGCGCGGCCTCTATCCGTGACACGCTCGCAGATCGTGGCAGGAGTGGCACTTGCTCGACACCACAGGGGGTGCGCAGAGGGTGGTCCCTCAGCGCGGCCTCTATCCGTGACACGCTCGCAGATCTTGGCAGGAGTGGCACTTTCTCGACACCACAGGGGGTGCGCAGAGGGTGGTCCCTCAGCGCGGCCTCTATCCGTGACACGCTCGCAGATCGTATCAGGAGTGGCACTTTCTCGGCACCACAGGAGGTGCGCAGAGGGTGGTCCCTCAGCGCGGCCGCTATGCACGACGGTCGTCCAGGGAATAGCAGGCGTGGCACTTTCTCGACGTCATAGAGGGTGCGCAGGGGGTGGTCCCTCACCGCGGCTGCTATGCACGACGGTCGTCCAGGGCATAGCAGGCGCGGCATTTTCTCGACACCATAGAGGCTGCGCAGGGGGTGGTCCCTCACCGCGGCCGCTACGCACGACGGTCGTCCAGGGCATAGCAGGCGTGGCACTTTCTCGACACCATCGAGGGTGCGCAGGGGGTGGTCCCTCACCGCGGCCGCTGGCTGGCTCGAATCTGTCCTCGACGGAGGATAGAAGGCTAGGAAGAGGGAGGAGGTTCAAGCAATATGGCGTTGGATGACACATAGGGGAACATTCGCGACGAGGGCTGAGAACGCAGAACTGCGCATATATTATAAACTTAAGCAAACACACAAGATTTAAGTTAGGTATGTGGGGTTCCTCGGTAGCGTAATTGTTCTGATAGGTTGACAGAGACAGCATCACATACATGTATGGGTAATTGTCAGGTTATATGTGTATGTGCATATTGCGAAGGCCTTATGTTCGGTGCCGCCGACCTTGAGAACGACGGAGATCGAGGGAGGTGCAGGGGGAGGAGGATGAGTGGGAGGTGGAGGAAGGGTGTAGGAGGTGAATGAGGGAGGAGGAGGGGGGAGAAGGATGTGGAGGAGAAGCAAGAGGAGGAGAAGGAGGCAGAGGAGAGCAGGAGGAGGGGAGCAGAGGGGGGGGGAGGAGGAAGAGGAGGAAGAGGAGGCCAGAGGCTTTCTTGGGACAGCCTGGGGTTCTCTTGAGGCCGTCTTGGGGCGTCCAGGGCTCCATTTGCGCCGTCTCGAGGCACTCTTGGAGGCCTCCTGGGCAATTTGGGGCTCTCCTGGGCTATCTTGGGGCAGTTTGGGGGCCCCTTGGGAGCCTCTTGGGGCCTCTTGGGGCTTCTTCGGGGCCTCTCGGGGGCCTCTTGGGGCTGAGAGCTCGAAATGTCGGGTCCCCCGTCTGAGCACTCTCCTGGAGCCATCTTGGGAGCCTTTTGGGCCGTCTTCGAGGCGTCTTGGGCCGTCTTGGGCCCTCTTCGGCCGTTAGGGGACCCTCTTGGGGGCCTCTTGGGCCGTCTCGGGGCGATCTTGGGGGTCTCTTGGGCCGTCTTGGCGCGTCGGGAAGCGGAAGAGGCAATAACGCCAAAATCTGTCAAAAACGTATGGAAGATCTATGAATTGTGCTCTCCTCGCTCTCATCCTCCTCGTCCTCCTCCTCCGCCTCCTCCTCCTCGTACTCCTCCTCCTCCTCCTCCTCCTCCTCCTCCTCCTCCTCCTCCTCCTCCGCCCCTCCGGCCGCCTCCTCCTCCTCTTCCTCCTCCTCCTCCTCCTTCTCTTCCTCCGCCTCCTCTTCCTCCTCCTTGTCCTCCCCCTCGTCTCTCCTCCTCGGTCTCTTCCGTCGCCCCGGCTCCCTCTTACTCGTGGGCCCGGGCGTGCGCAGGCGGGTGCCAGCGCCGGCGCCGGCGCCGCTGGCAGCAGCGCCGCGCGACGCGCGCAGATGCAGGAGGAGGAGGAGGAGGAGAAGGAGGAGGAGGAGGAGGAGGAGGAGGAGGAAGAGGAGGAGGAGGCGGCGGAGGGGCGGAGAGGAGGAGGAGGAGGAGGAGGAGGAGGAGGAGGAGGAGGAGTAGGAGGAGGAGGAGGAGGAGGAGGAGGAGGAGAGGAGGAGGAGGAGGAGGCGGAGGAGGAGGAGGATGACGCTAGGCCCTCGCATGTACTCGGTCCGCGAATTGGTTCCACTGCTTTGTCAACAATTGCCTCTTGACCACCTGCAGAGTCATGCCTTGAACTTGTCACTTGCTCGCCTCCACCTCGGCCCACCCGAAGAGCACCCGCAGCTTGACCTCAGCGGCCATGCAGAAGCCCTGCCAGGCCTCATCCAGCTGCTGCTGCTGCTGCTGCTGCTGCTGCTGCTGCTGCTGCTGCAGCTCGCCGCCGGCACAGATCTCCCAGCGGGCGCCCTCTCGGTGGTCGTCATTTTGCGTTGAGGTGTTTGCTATGTGGGAGCATGGGATTCCTTCAGACGTGCGGTCCGAGTGCTCAAGAGGCACGCCTGCAGGCCCCCTACACTGGAACAGCGCAGGACCCCCCCGGGGACCTGCAGCATGGGACCCCCCGCTGCCAGTTCCGCCCCGCCCGCCGCCGCCGCCCTCGCAGCCGCAGCCGCCGCCGCCGCCCAGCTCCGCCCGGCTCCGCGCGGCGGCGGGGCGGCGCCCAGCGCCGCGCGGCGGCGGGGCGGCGCCCAGCGCCATGGGGTCCGGCCCCGGGCCGCCCCGGGCGCGTGGCGGCGGCGGCCGCGGGCTGCGCCTCGGCGCCGCCGTCCTCGCGCTGCTCGCGGGCGCCGCGCCCTCGCCGCGCGCCTCGCCCGGCGGCGCCTGCCTCGCCGGGCCCGCGCCGCCGGGACCCCTCGCAGGGCGCTGTGCGTCCGCGGCGCCGCGGCGGCCGCGGCCGCCGCGGGCCGGGGCCAGGTCAGAAGCGATAGAAGGACCCAGAGATCCGACGCTCCGAAAAAATTGGAGCAGCCGGTTTTTGGCTGGGGCTCTTGCCGGGCCTCGGGGCCGTCAAAAACAACTCAGGACGAAACACCGGCCTTACGGAAGTGGTCCAGACATAGGGGGTCCACGCTTTGAAAAAATGGAGGGGCCGGATGTCTGGGGACGTACACGTGCGCATGTATGAGCCTATGCTGGTTTCGAGAGTACGCATGGCGCGAACTTTCGTATCACGAGGCTGGCCTCGCAGACTGGGCGCCGTGCGTGGTTGGGCGCGTACGTCCTTTGTGGGCTCCCTTCCAGGGACAGCTGGGACGAGGACCCGCTGGTACCGCGGGAGGTTCCCAAGAGTGCCAAGCGGGCCCCGGGCATCGACGCCGCCTGGGGCGGGAACGAGGACCTGCTGCTGCCGCGGAAGGTCCCCGAGGGCGCCGAGGATGACCCCGCGCTGCCGCGCTGGTTCCGGGAGCTCAACATCGCCGGCTTCCAGGCCGACGCCTCGTTCTACGAGGACTTCATCCTCGCGGCCGTCAACAAGAGCGACCTCAAGGCCGCCACGCGGTGGGTGAACAACGCGCGGCGCTCGAGCGTCCAGCTCCCGGGCTCCACGTACCAGGCCCTCCTGAAGGCCGCGGTGCGGGCGGGGGACCTGCCCTCGGCGCTGCAGTGGTGCGACCTGGCGGAGGCGCGGGGGTCCCTGCCGGAGGCGGCGACGCTGACCCCGCTGGTGGCCATGGCGGCCCAGCAGGGGGACCTGGAGGGCGCCGAGGCCTGGCTCCGGCGCGCGAGGCGGGCGGGCGCGGCGCCGAAGATTGAGGTCTACAACAGCCTCATCTCCGCGGCCTGCGGGTGCGGCGACGCCGTCGCCGCCTGGGGCTGGTTCGAGGAGGCCTGCTCCGCCGACGGCGTCAGGCCGAACCACGCGACGTTCGCCCTGCTGATGGACGCCGCGGGGAGGCACGGCGACCTCGAGACGGCGGGCAGTTTCTTCGATAAGGCCCTGCCAGCGCTCGAGAGGGGGCAGGGCGCGGGGAGTGCCTTCCTGGAGGAGAGGGGGGCTTCTCGGGAACGATCGCCCCCTGGAGAGGCAAGACGCCCTCACGCGTTCCGAGATGCGTGGGGCCTCTTGCACGGCGCGCCCTCCCCCGCCATGCCCTCTTCCCGTGCACATCCGGCGCCGTGTTTCGTTCGCGGCGTGGTTCCCCAGAGCTCTGGCCCCCCTCCCCGGGGCGCGCTCACTGTCGTCCCGTGCGTCCCGGGCTGTTTCTTGACGGTCCCAGGGCCCGGGGAGGGCCCTGGGGGCCGAGAGGGATGCGAAGCTTCAGGTCGCGATTGTGCCACGGCGGGAGGAAGTCAGGGCTGTTCGCACGGCTGCCTCAGGCGCTTGAGATGGGCATAGCGCCGGGGATCTACTTCTACAACATCATGATCTCCCGCGCCGTCAAGAAGGGTGACGTGGCAGCTCCCCGCCCGCCCCTTTGGGTGACGTGGCGGGGGGGAGGGAACGGAGGGCCAAGCTGGGTGCGTCCGCGCCATCTCTGACACCCTACCCCCTCCCCGCCCATTCTTCGGAGGAGGAAATGATACGGATACTGCCGCTCGTCCTGGAGAGCCCTCGTCGCCACCCCTGGGTTCGACTGGAAATTCTAGACGCTTCGCGTAACCCCACCAGCTGATGGCACCTGGATTGCATCGTCTTCCCTGGACGCTGTCGTGAGCCGCCTGATCCGCGGCCCTGCGCGCGTTAGGTAATTTAGTCGCGTCCGCGGCCCGTTCGCGACCTTCCGCCGCTGGCGCTTCCGCCTGCGGCTGTAAAAAAGAAGAAGAAGTAACCCCACCAGCCCATCCAGAAACGATGCCCAGAGGAAGTGCCTCGATCAGGGAAGTGGGCAGCACACAAAGGAAGGGTACCCCAGTGGAGGCCGGTTGGAGCGTCTTAGGGGCCTCTTGGCGGTCCATGACGCCTCTTAGAGCGTCTTGGGTGCTTTGGAGAGCTTCTTGGGGCCTCTTGGGGCCTCTTGGGGGTCTCTTGGGGGCCTCTTGGAGGCCTCTGGGGCGCTTGTTGGGCCTCCTGGGGCCTCATGGGCGCCTCGTGGGGCCCTCTTGAAGCGCTCTTGGGAGCCTTCAGAGCGCTCTTGGAGCCCTCTTGGGCCATCTTGGAGTCATCTTGAAGCCTCGGATGGCCATCGGAAGCGAAAAGGCGAGAAAGCCCAAAATGTTGATTTTCCGAAGGTTTTGGAAGGATTTTGGCCTCTTCGGGGCCTCCTGGGGGAGCTCTTTGGCCACTTGGAGCCGTCCTGAAGCGGTCTTGGGGCCTCTTGGAGCATCGTGGGAGCCATCTTGAGGCATCTTGGGATATCTTGAGCCATCTTGGAGGTCATCTTGGGCTCTCCCAGGCGCTCTTGGAGTCATCTGAAGCAGTGCCACCCCCCCCAGGAGGCCCAAATGTGGCCAAAACCTTAGTAAAATCAATGATTTGGGCATTCTCGCCGAGGCCTCTTGGAGCGTCTTGGGTGCCTCTGGGGGGTCGCTTGGGGCCTCGTGGGGGTCTCTTGGGAGCCTCTTGGGGGCATCCTGGGGGCCTCTTGGGAGCTTCTTGGGGCCACATGGGGCCATCTTGGGGCCATCTCGGGGCCTCTTGGGGCATCCTGGGGGCCTCTTGCGGCCATCGTGGAGGAAATCGATGAAAGAAGAGGGGAGCTCTAATTAGCGCTGCCCCCTCAGAAGGCCAAAATGGGGCCAAAACCATAGTAAAATCAATGATTTTGGCTTCCTCGCCGAGGCCGTTTTGGACGCTCTGACCGCTCCCCGCCCCTCCTGTCCAGGTCAGTGGGGAGGGGGTAGGGGGAGGGGTAGACCCCTCCCCGAAGGGGAAGAGGGAGGGGTGGAAGAGGAAACGCCCTAAACCACCGACGCCCAGAGGGCGGCTGGTGGGATTCTGATCAGATCGCACCCCAGGAGAAGTCCGGGGAGTAGCGGTATTGGTATCTTTTCGTTCCTCCAGTCTCTGCCCGTCCCACCCATTCCTTCACCTCCCTGCCCGCTGCGCCTTTCCTCCCATCAAGGAAGAAGAGAGCGGCACAAACATGAATTGTCGGAGGTCCGTGCGGGTTTCTTGGGCTGGCGCTGGAGCGCTTGGCGGCGCGTCCAGCGCCGCCCTGGCGCGCTCCGCGCGCAAGGGAACTTTGAACGGAGTTCAATGGTGGGGTACGAACGACGCGCCTGCGTCCCGACGCCGTTGGGGCTCAAACGGCGTCGCTCCATGTGTTTTCCCCAGACTAGGGTCGTTGTTGCAGCCGAGTAGCAGAAAAAAAGGAGACGCCCAATTTTTTCGAGGATGCACCATCGACTCCCACGTCGTATCACCGTTATACTCGCTCATACCTACTGCATGGATGACTCATGGGATATTATGGCGCGCGCAGTGCGTCTTATAAGGTGCGGCTCACCACATCTTTTCCGACTTGGTAGAGGAGATGGCTTCATCTTCGTATGGCCGGGTCCAACCCAAATTTTGGTATTCGACGGCACAGAATGATTCATTCATTTTATGATGGTGCGTCCCATTGCGCTAGCATCCCTTCGGGGATCACGGCCGGGAATTTGGCCTACATGTGACAGCACATCTACCGACGGCCACGTCGGCTTACACGTGTATGCCAGGGCTGGAACCCACCGTTCCTACCCACCACCCGGCAATTTGTAACACCATGTCGCTCCATCTCTCCACCGTGCGGGCGGGCGCAAGATTTCAACACTCACTCAATGATTATCCGCAGGCTGACGGCCTCAAGACAGGGTGACGGACACGTCAGCCTACAAACACGACGGTCACGACACCACTAACAATGATATGGACATGTGTCACATCAAAAACACAATGTTTGGCATCATATGGGTATGGCTTGGCCTAGCGATAGGACGCATGCAACGGGAAGGAGTGGACCAAACACGAACCAGGGGCCCCTCTGGGACCTGGGACCTTGAAGGCATCGTTCCCTTCCGCGAATTCGTTCGCCAAGCCCACGCGTGGCTGAACGTAATCCGTGGGTCTATGACTGCACCACAACAGGCCGCTGCCCTGCGACGGGGCCTTGCCAGCCTAGCCAGGGCCTAGCCAGGACCTTGGCGATGCGAGTGCCACCCACAGTCATCAACCATGGAGTAACCCTACAGGGCCAACGTACCGACGGCGTTACGTACATCATGTTTCTCCTCAGCACCAGGTCTGAGAGCCTTGAGGATGAACGACAACTCGCCTCAGGCACAGTCTTCGTCGACTTCAGGGTCGATTGGGGCGAACGTGTCGATTCGGTATTGGCCTGATTCCAAATCCAGACGCTCCTGTTGTTCCGAGCTCTGGGAGTCGGCACTTCTCGAGCATTCCAGCTCCTACAGGCCCTTAGTCACACAATGCCTTGAACACCGCAGCAGTGCGACCAACTACTGGAACGGGTGCGCGGTTATGGGCACCTAGCTGAGTGCTCACCTGAAAACGGTGGGGGGGTATTCAGTGGTAAGGCGGCTGGGACATGCGATGTCGACATCATCGGCACACCGTCCGCCGAATCGGGCAACATTTTGAGCGATCGGGAACCGAGCGAATCTACGACGCTCCTAGGTCAGGCAGCTTGCACCGCGCAGTCAGCCGACCCAGCGGCAGCTTGTCGGCTGCTGCCGCAGCCAGCGGTTCACCACCTACTACAGGCGCCCTGTGAGGCTCAGCGGACCAATGCAACGACTCGCCCTTTTTATTTTTAGTTTACATGAACAGACGCGGACACTTGCTCCTCTGCTGGTATTGGTGAACTAATTCGGCTGGTCCGACCTGTCGGCCAACGACGGGCAAGCTGCGCGATGCTTATCCCTAGGCTATCATCACGCTAAACTCCATTGGAGGCGACATGCGAGGAAGCCTGTTAGAACATGCAGGCGAGCAGCGCGCCGGGTATTTCATCGCGAAGGCAAGTGTCGTGGCAAGGGTGGTAGGCGTACCCGCAGGCTACATGGACAGGGAGTAGCTTCATACCTGGCTAATCTCACCGATCACGGTTTCGAGGCATTATTTCTTGGCGAAAGAGACAGAGGCTCTAGCCGTGGACATGCCGCTGGGAAGGGTAAGGCACGTAAGCTGACCCCTATGGATAATAACGGCCCGACAATTAAGGCAGTGGCAGACATGTCCAGGCACAGTTCGTGAGAGGAGATGGGAAGGGTGATGGATTCGTAATTCTTGGCTCAGAGCAGGAAGGAGAGGCCGAGTTGGAATGCGTTGATTTTCCGTACTTGGACCACTTGGAGCACCGTTCCTACGCCACTTGAGTGCAAAAGGTGGTTTCTGATGGTTCAGTGCTCCGATGCAGCCCTCGCCGTTGAAAATTTGCAGAGAATTTGCATGGCGGCGTGCGCGATGAGATTCGCGCCTTTTTCGAGGCGCGGCTGGGCTTTCCCCTTCGCGGACACGTGCGTGATGACCTGGGTGACATTGAATGCGTTTCCATCCCTATGTCCGGGGCCGGGGCGATCCCCGCCGCTGAGGAAGAGCTCGCGCTGGCCCAGCTCAGTCCTGAGCAGGGTGGATGCGCTGTTAAGCCAACAGCTACTACTATTGGCCTTGCTGCGGATGAGTCTGCAGCTGTTGGGTGGGGCCAGACCCGCGCTGCGACGTTGATGATGTGGGGGCGACGGGTCGCGTCGAGGCTGGCCGTCGCGGGTGGTTGAGGTTCGATGGGGTCGAGGTGTGCCTCGCGGCAGGGGCTGCCCGCCTAGCGGGGGCGGGGGTAGCCGCGCCCGCGAGAGCGGCGACGGTCATTGTCTTTCGCGCGTGAGGGGCGTGGCGCGCGGGCGCGTGGGTGGAGGTGCCTGGTTGTGGTGGAAGGGGGGGCGTGCGTGGGTGCCTCCGTGGCTGGTCAGAGGCATGCGTTCGCCGCTGGCACTCGCTCGCCAACGCCTTCTGGGGCCCGACGGCAATCGAGATCGTCGAGACCTCCGACCGCCGATCGGATCGGGGAGCAGAGAGGGGGTCCGCTTCAAGAAGAGGAGGCTCATCGGGGACCGGGGGGCCCGCCGTATGCGCGGGGGCCTGCGCAAAATTAACAGCCGCCCTCGGTGCCCGATATGTCGGCCCTCGATGGGGCCCGCGCCGCCTGGCCGCGCCGTGGAATCGGGGCCGCGGTGGCTGCTTGGGAGGTAGTTGCGACGCCCCTGAAGGCCGCGTCGCGGCGGGCGACGCGCAGGTGGTGACCGTCGAGGCTGACTGGGCGCAGGTGGCGCTCGCCGTTGACGCCGAGTCGGTCTTCGAGTCTAAATCCATTGATGCCTGAGGAATCCTACTGAGCGCGCCCCACCGGGCCGCTGGAATCAGCAGACGACGGAGAGCGGCGTCGCACATACTGCGCAGCGGTGTGGTGCAGGTGGCGTGGTGGCAGATGTGCGCGCCAAAGGCTGCGCCGACCGCT